AATTTCTGGTAATAATAATGAGTGCCTGTGTTGTTTCTCCTCTGTTCCATTTTTTTTGGCAAGTCTGTCTGGTAACTCATTTCCTGGTATGTCGCAGTGAACCGGGATCCACTGAAGAACGATTTGTTTTCTACGAGTCTGTTTAGTTGACTAACGAAAATGGCGTCCAATACGGGAACATCGTGCCCGTTATTTTCTATTCAGAAAGCACCATCATCACCAAGGATAACCAGATAAAGATGGCAAATACAGTGTTCGAAAAAGAATATAACCTTAATAGTCTCCAAAGAGATCGAAAGGTCGTGGGTTCGCTCTCTGGTGAAGCCGGATTTTTTTTTCTTTTAAAAAATGACCTTGACTCCCAGGTCGAGCCAACCTTAAGTGGGTAAAGGGTGAAGTCACGGGAAGTAAAAGTGGCCGGCGTGATGCTGACCACATCACCCATCTTGTGCTGATTGGTCTATATAATATATATATAGGTCTAGCCCTGTATGTCCTAGACGCCTAAAGGCAGGAAAAATACTTTTTTTGCTTAGTCTCTGTCGAGTTTTGCAACCAAAACTTGGAGTATCTAATAACAGTTAGCGTTAACGTACATCTCTCTCCACACACTGGCTAGCTACACAGAAAAGACAGAAAAGGGTACACTGTTTGTCAAACATGCTGTTAGTTGATTCACGACAGTTTACGCCCAGGTGATCTGATTATATCTGATTATCTATACAGATGGTTCGGTGTAAAGAGGAAAGCGAATTGCCTGGGAGCTCGTAGCAAAAGCCAATGTGCAAGACAGCCTGGCATACGACAAAATAACTTCTAGTATGAGAATGGAGGTGGAGGCGGTTAACTGCAGTTTTCTGGTGGCTAGAGAACAAGATGCATACACATGTCGTAATTGTAACAGACTTTGAAGGCATTCTGAGAAAGGCGAAGACAGGGATCCTTCGAGCAGAGTGGCAAGCTTCACTGGAAAGATTACCGGTAGTGAGTATACTTCGGATCTTTTCTCCGGCGTTGTGGGTAATGAACAGGCAGACAGACTGGCTGGATCTGTACCACTGGGTGATAAATTGATACATGACAAGGCAGATATGGTCAAGGCCCTTTGGAAACAAGCAACAGAATCAGCAGAGATGGCAGATTATTATGGCTTGGAGAGAATGAGGCACTTGGGTGTAACCAGAGGGTCTGGCCGGCTCACTACACTCAGAGGAAAGGCAAGACGGACATATAACTAGATTCTGACAGGTACCATCAGTATCGGAACTCCGAGCTGGCTGCTGAAGATGAGGACAGAGCATGCATGGGAATGCACTGAGTGCTGTGATGTCAATTCTTAACTTTACTCAACTCCATTTTGATACCCTCTATAACCAGAAGCATATTTAAGCTTGCTGAACACTATCGAAATGTTTCTCTCTCTTCTTTTCTCTTCAATAGAGCAAGTAAGCAACTCCATGGCGAACTGCTCATGCAGAAGGTCACTCTCATAGCGATCTGCCAAAAAAGAAACTCCGTCTCTCGCCAACCCCCACACCTCATCGATGAAGATAACTTTAGTTCATGAGTTTGTCAGTTTGAAGTTTGAACAACGGATCAACATCACGATACACGGATGGTAACCCATAAGTGCTCCGTTTTTCTTCTAACTCAAGTCTGAGTCCGAAGAAGCTCAGAACAGTGCACTGGCTCTGTAGCACCTGCGAGGATCCTGAAATTCTTTCGGGTAGATTTTCAACAACAAATTTAGCCCGGGCAGCGCCGTTAGGCTACTCTTTTCAATTTTTAACTGCCAAGGGATTGTTTTATGTGCGCAGTAATGCACACGGGCGTCTGATCTCACTACCCAGAGACCAGGGGGAAATACTAGGAAGTCCAAATCCACGTGAAAAATCCCTGCCCTTACCGGGGATTGAACCCGGAACCTCTAGCACTCGATGCGGACACCATGCCTGAGACCTCACAGTCCCCCGATGAGTTTTTCCCTGATTAGTGAACGGATGGCTCTCGAAAACAATGGAAGACGGTCTGCTGCCAAATCGTCTGCAGCTGAGATCGAACCCGGCACATCTACATTACGAAGCGCGTTCGCGACGCCCAAGCCACAGATGATACTAGTGCCGTAATTATAACTTAAATATAAGAGTCCTCTGAAAGTACTGGAGAGCTTTGGGAAATACATTCTGGTCTCAAGACTCAGTAAAGGGTAACCCCCAACTGCATCTCCATGCGGTATAGGATGGTAAACATACTGCCGTGTGGCCAACGCAGCTATGGGTACCGAGTATCTGCGGGATAAGTGGATACCTCTGGTATGACCTCTGCTGTTAGCAGGAGCATCACAGAGCAGGGCACTCACTTGCCCTAGCAATCGGAAAGGTTGCTGAAGGCCGAGGACGTATGGAAAGCAAGAGGAAACTACCACATTACTATCCTAAGAAACGTATCAGGGAAGCCATAGCAGAAGGCATGGTACCAAAAAGGAGGGGCAGGGGCCGACCAACACAAAGATGAACAGTATAAAAGTACATGAGTCGAGAGACGTAGTTTCTTACAGGCAGACTGTGATAAAAGTGACGTTCTACAAAGGACCTGCTACATGATGGTGATGGAGGTTGAACAGGGGGGTATTTGGGATTTCTCTTGTCGGATTGACATATAAGATGCGGCTCTTTGAATCGTGTGGGAAAACAGTCAGTTATTAATCCAGCGTGCTCTAGTATGCTGCACAGTACGTGGCCATGCTGCTCTGAAGCTCTGGCTCAAAGAACTCCTCTGCCTGCACTACAAAAGAGGTCAATACAGGCAGTAATAATAGTTTATGGCTCTAGTAAGCTTGGGCCAAATGTAAGATAGGATCCCGCGTTTTTTGACCCACTTGAATTAACATTGATCACACACGCAAACTTGTTTGGGGACTCAGATCTTTAAGAATGAGGTAGGACGAGACACCGATAATGCAGACATTAATATTCAAATAAGGACAAATCTTTGTACTATAGTCCAAAGGAGCGGTTATCGCGTCAGCCTATTTAAATATTACAAATACTCCTATCAGGGGCGCGGAAACCTGCAGGCTCAGACACCTTGAGCCCCCCCCCCCCTCTCCGCAATAATTATTTTAAGGCAGTGGTTTTCGCAGTGGACCCCCTTTTGTGGGTCGAACGACCCTTTCACAGGGTTTGCCTAAGACCATCCAAAAACACATATTCACTGAAGTTATGAAGTAGCAACGAAAGTAGTTTTATGGTTGGGGGTCAGCGCAACATGAGGATCTGTATTAAAGGGTCGGGGCGTTAGGAAGGTTGAGAGGAAAATTGCCGGGAACCAAATCAATCACTGTATATTGCTTTTATTAGTTTTACCAAGGCATTTGATTTGGTTTGTGTAAAAGATCTGTTCAATACGCTGATGAAGATTGGGCGTCCACCTAACCCCTCCCCTTTCCTTGAGCAATATTGAGTCGTTCCACACGTGTATGAAAGGTACAATCAACTTTGGTGGTGTAACATCGGAGGAGTTTGAAATCAACAATGGAGTGAAGCAGTGAAGTTTACTTGCTCCTACCCTCTTTGAAATTTACTTCTTACTTCTTTTAAAACATGCCTTTTGATGCCAGGAGGGTGGTATCAATTCTCGATCGTGGCACAGTCTTTACAACCCCTCCAGGATACCCGCACCCCTAAAAATTATAACAGAGCTGAGCGCACCATCCCCGTTATTTTCTTTGTGTCGGCGCCAGCTACTCCATTAGCCAGCCGACTGTTTTGATATGTCACACGTTATGTGTTTTCTGCACTGTAAACTTCAACGATTGTGTAATGTGTATGTTGTGTATGTAAATATATCGAGTGTGTCCTTATGTCAGCAACTGGTGTTTAGTGACTACTGTGTATTGAAAGCGCAACAAGAGAGACTGAAACGGATTTTTTCATGACAGAAATTATTTAATTGTTCTTCTTGGGGGGCAATCAAAGACGGCATTATTCACAAATGCCAACTTGACTTGTCTTCATTATAACAACTGAGGATTTAACAGTTTGCTTGATTCATACAATTATTGACACAGCTTGATTCTTCATCTCTAGAACAATCACGGATTAAACAGTTTGATTGATTTAAAATGTGATTGACATAGCTTGATTCTTCATCTCTGGAGCAATCAATAATTAAACAGTTTGCTTGATTTATTAATTGATTGAGACAGCTTTATTCTTTATCTCTGGAACAATCAAGGATTAAACAGTTTGATTCAAAAGTGGATTATTTTAAATTGATTTTTCGTCTGCACAACAAGAATGTATCAAATTTTTTGATTCTTTTTTTTTTTCGATTACTTCCCTTTCTCCATGACTGTCCCAAGTATAACATATCAAGGTAAAACTTTTGGCCAAAAGAAACATGGGTGCCAGCCAAACTTTGCGGGTTCTGATTGAATTACAACAGACAGTGAAGTTTATATTAGAGACAACATTTCAAATATAAATAATCTGTTTCAAGCGAACAAAAGAAGACGAGAAGAGATTCTTTTTCTTAGTAGCAGTGAAGGATACAACTATGTTACTCAAAATTTGATTAGATTTACTGGATTGTTTCCCCGTTACCGGGAAGAACATAATAACTTGGTTGGTGTTGATAACAACCAAGGGATCATACTGCTCGATTATTATGTATTACCTGTGACGTGTATACAATCGTAAAAAGATATAAAACCAAACGAAAAATAGATCAGCAAGCTTCACAATATAACAAACAGAAACGAAACGTAAACGTTGCGACTATGGGGCCTTAATCAGCACATACATAAATTAAATCACACGAATACACAAAATCACATAACTGACGTATTCCGAAGCGGCCACGTTGACGTCTTGCCAGTGGAATGAACAGACACGTTGGGCCCTGAGAATAAATAGCCGGGGAATGCTAAGGGACGTAATTCGAGAATAATAAAATCGTAGAGAAGTTTACGCTGGCTTTTCTAAAGATTCTTCATCGACATGAATAAACGGAAACTGAATGAGGTGAAGGAAGCTGAATTTGAAGAATCGAACCTGGCGGATCAGAACAAGATGGAAGCCGAGGAAGACGAAGCTAAACTGACAGTTCCAGATGGAGGATACGGCTGGTTTGTGGTATTCGGATGCTTCCTCCTTCATGTGGTCACCGGAGGAATTGAAAGAAGCGATGGGGTCTTCTTCCTACAGCTGACGTCACGGTTCGGTCAAAGCGCCCAGTTGACCTCATGGCCCGGTGCGATTATGTCTACGCTGAACTTATGCCTGGGTCCTATCGCTGGAGCCATTTGCAATCGGCACAGCGTCAGAACGTCTGTAATGATCGGTGGCCTCCTTATGGCTACAGGCTGTATCCTCAATGGCTTCGCCAGCAACTTCTACTTCCTCTTCTTCTCGCATTCCTTGTTGGTCGGAGCTGGAAGAGGTCTAAGTTATGCTCCTTCACTGATAATAGTGGCAATGTACTTTGACAAACGCCGAGCATTAGCTACGGGAATTGGCACATCCGGTGTGGGCATAGGTACTTTTCTTTTAGTTCCCATAGCTCAATTTCTCTTCGATAATTACGGATTTCAAGGTGCTTTTCTTATCTTCGGTGGAATCGCTTTGAATACTAATGTAGCCGCCATGGTGTATCGACCTTTGAGTATGCACTACCGGTTCATGAAAAGGTCGAGGACGCGTATATACAGTGTCGATCATGTAGACGCTGCGGAAGCCATTGTTGCCTCGGAAACGATTTCTGAAATTGGAAGTCTCTGGTCATTACAGACCAATCCCGTAGAAATACGCCGGACACAAGAGATTCGAAGTCTCACAAGCTCAAACGATACAAACATTATTGCCACAGATTTGGGAAAAGAGCCCTTCCTTGGCAATAACTGGTGCACAACAGCTCTCAAAATTTGTTTTCCAACAGAAGTTAAAAACAGCAATGATAAAAAGTCAAGAAAACTCTGCCATTTTTATCTGCTGAAGAATTCATCCTTCTTGTTCTACTGCTTAAGCATGTGGGTATTTTCAATGGCGATGAAGTCTGGATACACATTTATTCCGGCTCTCGTCAACTCCAAAGGAATCACGGATTCTAAGGCGTCTTTGGTGTTGTCTATAACAGGAGTTGTGGACTGCGTGTCAAGAATTGGAGCAGGTTTCTTGCTAGACTTAAAACTACTCCGCCGGCATCGACTTCTCATCTACACGGCGGTTATCCTGGCATTATCCTGTGTGGTTTTTATACTGCCTTCCATGGATTCTTTTACCTCGTTCCTTGTCACGTGCTGCGTGTTTGGCTTTTTCACGGGAATTTACGTCTCCCAGAAGTCTGTCATCCTAGTGGACATACTGGATATCCAACATATGACCAACTCTTTGGGGATTCTGATTTGTTTCCAAAGCTTCGGGACGCTCCTGGGGCCGCCGCTGTCTGGTGCCGTCAAGGATTACTTCGGGACGTTTGCAGAGGCGTTTTATTTGAATGGTGGGTTTATGGTGGCTGCTGGGGTGCTGATGTTTGCTAGTAATATGTGTTTAGGGATTCAAGGGCGGACACGAAATTTGCGAGAATAATGTACAATCTTCTTCTTCTTTACTGTTTGCTTGTATGTTTGTGTAAATATGTGTGTGAATAAGTGTGTATGTGTGTATGTGTGTATTATGTATGCATGTATGTATTGATGCCTGTATATGGGTGTGTGTATGTGTGTGTAAGTGAGTGAGTGAGTGGGCGCGTACGTTTTTGCGCGCGTGTGTGTACGCGCACTGGCATTTTACCATTAATGATTTTTTTTTTCTTCTGGATATTCATAACTTGCGTAAAATTATATGAACATAACATCGCTTTTTAAATAAAATCCAACTGCTGTGTGAAAGATGGGTGTTTGGAAGAATGTAAGACGGGCCTGTATGCCTAGATTGTGACTCTATAAAAATAAAGTTTAGTTTGTTCTTTCGTTTGTTCACTTCCCCGTGCCTGTTTAAGTTTAAAACGAGCCATAAGGTAGTGCTTCTTGCTTTTATGGCAATCTCGACTATAGACACATCTGTCTCTTTTATAGTTTATCTGGAGTGATGTTTCTATCTTGTTCTTGGTCTAGTCACCGCGTCACACTTAGTTTTTTGTTTTGTTTGTATGGCGTATCCCTTGAAAGTATAACATGTATAAACATTTATTGATTTTATGTAGGAATTTGGGTCATTTGTTACTTTAAAAAGAAAGATTTAAAAAAAAAACCCCATAGTAAATGCTATTTACAACTTGAGTTTTTATATGTTTGTGAGACAGGGGCAAAAAACAGGCAAGCTAAAAACACGCAAGAGAGATTATTTTTTGTTTGAAAGAAGATTGCAAAGAATATAGAACATCAACGAATCAAATGGTTTGGTTATCTGGTCAGAATTGACAAAAGCAGATAGTAGCTAGAGCGTACTAGTTGAGAACAACAAACTACAAGACAAGAGGCCGACAAAGAAAGAGATGGGTGGATGGAGTAAAAAAGACACTACAGAAATACAACATGACATTAACACAAGCTACGTAAGGAAAGACAGACAGGACTGACTTCTGGGTCGCTCATTGACTGGCCAGTAGACGACTTCGTCGTCGATAAGCACACTATTTAGGTCTGTCTGCTTTGATCGCATCAACACGGCTGGAATCCTTTTCATGTCTCTTGATGGCGTGCAATGTTAGGCCATTTGATATGGTGCATTTAACCTAGTCACAATTATAAGCACAAACCCCTCTGCGGGGATGTTGGTTGTACGTGAGATCCCCCCCCCCCCCCAAAAGAAGGAAAGAAGGATGTGAAAGACAGAAAACTACATCTAACTCCTCTCTGCGCCGCTTCCCGGCATAAATAGTAGGACAAAAGAAGAAGGAAGAAGCAGAAATAATATCATTGGATGACATACAAATAAACAAGACATTTCTCGCGGCTGATTAGACCTGAAACCTGATTGAGAAATTACTTGAGGACAGCCATCATTTCTTCGGACATGTTGTAAGAAAGAGACACACTCGCCATCGCCATGGGCTGTGAGTCTCATGGCCGCGTCACCTTTGACATGCACGCAAGAGAAACAGCCTTCTGTTATCTATTTTTTTTTCAAAATTAGTGAAAATGTGATGCTTAGACAAATTTATCGGCGAATAAAGGTCCAATACAGCTATGCATCCGTCCAGAAAGCAATGACAAACTACTGGACGTAAATTTGATAGAAAAACGACAACAGTCAGAAAGTGATCTTGTTGGTTCTGCGACGTCTTGTAAAGGATACGCAACTAACTAATAGCTATGCATGCCTGTCAGTTCAGCAAGTGTGAGAATGCAGCAGAAAGTTTCAAAACGCTCTGTCGCATAAGTCACGCCTTTGAAAACGTCTTTCTCTGCATGGTGATGTCACGTGCTTACCACTCTTGACATCCTTGAAAACAATGTGGACAAGTTGCAAGACAAAAGCACAGTTATTTTATTCTTTAATACACTTTTAAGGATTTCCTTTAAAATCACTTGGTATAACTGTCTTTCAGTGGAAACACAGAGGCTCTCAACCTACCTAATGCCAAGACCCTTTAGTAAAGTTCCTTCATGTTGTGGTGACCCCTGAACAATTATTTTCCTTCTTAACTTCAATAAAATATTTTTTTCTGATGGTCTTAAGCAGCCCCTTGTGAAAGATTCATTTGTCACACACACAACACACACACACACACAACACACACACAACCCACACACAACACACACACAACACACACACACACAACACACACAAACAACCCACACACAACACACACACAACACACACAACACACACACACAACACACACACAACACACACACACAACACACACACACACACACACACACACACACACACACACACACACACAACACACACACAACACACACACACACACACACACAACACACACAACACACACAACACACACACACACACACACACACAACACACACACAACACACACACAACACACACACAACACACACACAACACACACACACAACACACCACACACACACAACACACACAACACACACACAACACACACACAGCACACACACACACACACAACACACACACACCCACCCACCCAACACACACACACACAAACCCCACACACACCACACACACAACACACACACACAACACAACACACACACAACACACACACACAAACAACACACACACACAACCCACACACAACACACACAACACACACAACACACACACACACCACACACACAACACACACAACACAGACACAGCGCACTCACACACAACACACACATACACACCCACCCACAAACCACACACACACAAACCCCACACACACCACACACACAACACACACACACCCCACACACCACACACACACAACACACACACAAAAGGCGGCGACCGGCAGGTTGAAGACCGCTGGTCTAACAGATTCGAGTTTAGCAAACTCTTAATTAGTGGTCATTTACGACATGCTTGTTAACGGGAAACGGGTCAACTCTTCCCCTCCCCCACTTCTTGCCCCCAATGGGGCCCCGAAACCTCCAGAGGTTACTTGTGAATCCTCCCCCTCCCCACCCCCCTTCCACTCTCCCAGTCCATAAATACATATTCATCACTTATTGAAGCAGATATGTAAATGTGCACACAGCATGTACAATTGATTGCACATTTCCTGATATCACATCATGTCCTGTATGTATACTTACCACTTTATTTTTCACTATTTAAAAAAACATGAATTATTAGAAATCACTCAAGCGAAACTCGGCCTCGTAAAATATTTTACGAGATGAAAGAAAACGTGCCAGCTGAAGTGCAAAGAATGCTGCTAGGAGAAAAAATAGGTTGCCAAATAGGTATCTATGGCGGAATAATTTAGCCTTTTCAAAGTACAAAAAGGTATAATGTGGTGTGACAATGACTTTGTAAGTATAGACAGTATAGTTAAGAAGATGTACGAAGTTTGAAATTGAAATACGAATTGAAATATGAATTGAAAAATGAATTGAAATATATTCAGAATTATAATACATTACATTTCTTTTCTCGTAAACTGTATGTGCTATGAAATTCTCTGATAATATTCTAGGTCATGTCCCCTACACAGCATAAAGGGCCCTTTTCCATACCTTCCGGCTCATTCAGAACTATACATTATACATTTTTGAATCAGTTTACTTTCGAACCAGTTTACATTTGATACAGTTTACTTTCTAATCAGTTTACATTTGATACAGTTTACTTTCGAATCAGTTTACTTTCGAACCAGTTTACATTTGATACAGTTTACTTTCGAATCAGTTTACTTTGGAATCAGTTTACTTTGGAATCAGTTTACTTTTGAATCAGTTTACTTTCGAATCAGTTTACTTTTGAATCAGTTTACTTTTGAATCAGTTTACTTTTGAATCAGTTTACTTTTAAATCAGTTTACGACTTTGTCCTGTCTTTAGCAAGATAGTTTCTTTGGTTTTTCTATCAGTTTACGATATGGTTTATATTTTCTGCTTTCTTGTGGACATTTTGTTGTTCGTTTTTCAAAAAGTGACTTTGGCTCCCAGGTCAACCCAGCCGTAAATGGGTACCAGGTGGGGTCCTGGAAAGTTACAATCAGCCGGCGAGATGCTAGTCCTATATGCCCAACATGCCTTATGGCGGGGAAAGGGTACTTTACTTCCCCTCCCCCCCCCCCAAGTTTACTGGTTTTTGTCCATGTCCCAAATAATAACATAAATTGACCCTGTGTCCCCAGTTTATGATCTTTTGAAAATAAAGTTACTCCGCAGGATCTCTCTCTCTCTCTCTCTCTCTCTCTCTCTCTCTCTCTCTCTCTCTCTCTCTTTCTTTTCTTTCTCTCTCTCTCTCTCTCTCTCTCTCTCTCTCTCTCTCTCTCTCTCTCTCTCTCTCTCAAGAAGCCACGTTAGAGCAATCGATAGGAGACTCGCTTTCACCTCCAGCTGCTACTCGCTGCAGCCCACGACCGGTGTTCGAAATTTGGGGCGGTTTCCGGGGTCCCCCCAGTCTCTAGGTAATGGGTACCAGAGTCACACTCTGAGGTAAATGGAGGTACGTCGCTGTAGCTACGGAGTTACGTGCGGTCGGCGACACAGGCGGATAGTTTCTTATCAGCTGTCCGTACTGGTGGCAGAGCACTTATGGTTTATAACCGTACGCAATGAGGCTGGTTCATATCTCGCGACTTTATTTTTATCTCTATCACTCAAATTGTGAATTATCTTGTAAGGAAGAGGGTTATAAATGTTGTTTGTGATTTAATTTATTTCAAGACGTCACGTTTTATTTTTAAATTGATGTTCTTGTCATTATATTAACAAATCCGTGTTGCTCTTGCCTACGACTGTTTCCCTTGTTGTTATCGATATATTTATTTAGATAACTGTATTGGCAAACAAAGAAGAATCTATTTGATCCCTGCCTTGAATACTTGATTGTTCCATGTTTTTTTATATCGTTTGGTTCTTTTTTCGCTTCGCACCTTGCTCTTGTACTTTTTAATATTATTGTCATTTTGTAAGGCGAAGACGGTATTGTGTAATTTGATGGCGTTTTTTTCTTTCTTTTATGACGAGAATTCAATGTTTCTTTGTTGCTATCTTTTCATTCCTACAGCCTATCGTTCTAGGCAAGCTATTCTAAATGTTTACTTAAGAATTTGGCCAGGGCTTCTCAAATCTTTGCTGAATCCGCCATTTTTGCCTCTCGAGAAAACAGAATTGGAGCTGGTAGAGTAGTAAAATAATACTGACGAGGAGTCGACAAGTAGGAAGAGGAGGAGGCGGATGAGGAGGAGGAAGACAAGGGAGCAAAAGAAGAAGAACTAACATAAGGAAAAAGCAGAAAAAGAAGAAAAAGAAGAAGAAGAAGAAGAAGAAGAAGAAGAAGAAGAAGAAGAAGAAGAAGAAGAAGAAGAAGAAGAAGAAGAAGAAGAAGAAGAAGAAGAAGAAGAAGAAGAAGAAGAAGAAGAAGAAGAAGAAGAAGAAGAAGAAGAAGAAGAAGAAGAAGAATAGTATTAATACCAATAATTAGAAAAAGAATAGGTAGAAGAAGAAGAAGAAGAAGAAGAAGAAGAAGAAGAAGAAGAAGAAGAAGAAGAAGAAGAAGAAGAAGAAGAAGAAGAAGAAGAAGAAGAAGAAGAAGAAGAAGAAGAAGAAGAAGAAGAAGAAGAAGAAGAAGAAGAAGAAGAAGAAGAAGAAGAAGAAGAAGAAGAAGAAGAAGAAGAAGAAGAAGAAGAAGAAGAAGAAGAAGAAGAAGAAGAAGAAGAAGAAGAAGAAGAAGAAGAAGAAGAAGAAGAAAGAAGAAGAAGAAGAAGAAGAAGAAGAAGAAGAAGAAGAAGAAGAAGAAGAAGAAGAAGAAGAAGAAGAAGAAAAAGGAGGAGGAGGAGAAAGATCAGTAGCAGTAGGAGGGGAAGAAGAAGAATGAGGAGGAGGAAGCCAAGGCGAATAATAATAAGAATAAGAAGAAGTAGAAAAAGAAAAAAAAGGAAAAGAAGAAGAAGAAGACGAATAATATTACCAGTAATAATATTAATAATTAGAAGAAGCAAAAGAAGAAGAAGAAGAAGAAGAAGAAGAAGAAGAAGAAGAAGAAGAAGAAGAAGAAGAAGAAGAAGAAGAAGAAGAAGAAGAAGAAGAAGAAGAAGAAGAAGAAGAAGAAGAAGAAGAAGAAGAAGAAGAAGAAGAAGAAGAAGAAGAAGAAGAAGAAGAAGAAAAAAAAAAGAAGAAGAAGAAGAAGAAGAAGAAGAAGAAGAAGAAGAAGAAGAAGAAGAAGAAGAAGAAGAAGAAGAAGAAGAAGAAGAAGAAGAAGAAGAAGAGAAGAAGAAGAAGAAGAAGAAGAAGAAGAAGAAGAAGAAGAAGAAGAAGAAGAAGAAGAAGAAGAAGAAGAAGAAGAAGAAGAAGAAGAAGAAGAAGAAGAAGAAGAAAAAGAAAGAGAAGAAGAAGAAGAAGAAGGAGGGGGCGAGAACGAATAGGAGAAGAAGAAGAAAAATCAGCAGAAGAAGAAGGAGGGGAAGAAGAAGAAGAAAAAAAAAAAGAGGAAGAAGAACAAGAAGTAGTAACAGTAGCTGCAGTGGTGGTGATAGTAGTAGTAGAAGTTTATGATGAAGAAAATAATTATAATAATAAAAAGAAACAAAAAATCGGACATCTGAATCTTCAAAAATGCACACATACATTTAATGCGCAAGGCAGCCGTCAGAAGTGCCAACACAAACAGACTGACAGTAGAAAGGCAGTTCTTTAGATGAAAGCATCAGTAATAACAAATCAGTAGTTGCACACGAAATTAATCGGACAAGGCACCGCCAGTTCTATGGCAACATTTAACTCGCCATTTTGAAATCCTCAGATAACAGTGTCGCGACATGCGCTTAGTACATTAGTTCTTCTTCTCTTCTACCTTGCACCTCATTAAAGTATCGTGGGATACATTAGTTGCGCGACTGAATTATATCACAGTGTCGAGTCATTAGCTCGTTAGATAAGCGACTGAATTATATACTTTCAGTGCAAATGTGGGAGAAAAATACAACGGCTTACTATTTTCAGAAGAGTAACACTTGCCACGACTAAAAAAAGTCAGCTCGTCAATCCGCCATACAGAACCGGTAGCATAATTTATATGTTTTCGGTGATGAACATTTTCTCAATGCACATTTCAGCTGTAGGTGTCCCAACAGCTGGTCTCTTTCCTGCTGACCCAGATGTCTTAGAGTCTAATCCGTATATTGACTTGGTTTTTATGATTAACCTCCCAGGCAGACTCAACCTAATATATATATATATACTAGGAAATGACCTGGGAAACTAAGGAGGCCGGCACGATGTGGACCACATCAGGCATCGAGTGCGGATTGGTCTATAAAATATGAGTCTAGCACCATATGTCTGATGATGCAGAGGTTTGAAAAATGCCCTTTACTTCTCCCAGTGCAAAGAAACAGTTATAATGTAATAGTGAAATCAATGGAAGACTAATATATAGGGATAGTATTAGGTAGTTATAATGTGAATAAATACAATAACAGTGACTAAAATATGAATGAATATTATTATAGTGAATAATAACATGAATGGATACAACAATTATTAGTTATAATTTTCCGGTTGTTGTTGCTGGTGTTGTTTGTTATTGTTGTTGTTGTTGTTGTTGTTCATCTCCTTCTTCTTCTCCTCATTCTTATTCTTCTTTTTCATTTTCTTCTTCTTCTTCTTCTTCTTCTTCTTCTTCTTCTTCTTCTTCTTCTTCTTCTTCTTCTTCTTCTTCTTCTTCTTCTTCTTCTTCTTCTTCTTCTTCTTCTTCTTCTTCTTCTTTCTCTTTCTCCTCCTTCTTCTTCTTCTTCTTCTTCTTCTTCTTCTTCTTCTTCTTCTTCTTCTTCTTCTTCTTCTTCTTCTTCTTCTTCTTCTTCTTCTTCTTCTTCTTCTTCTTCTTCTTCTTCTTCTTCTTCTTCTTCTTCTTCTTCTTCTTCTTCTTCTTCTTCTTCTTCTTCTTCTTCTTCTTCTTCTTTCTTCTTCTTCTTCTTCTTCTTTCTTCTTCTTCTTCTTCTTTCTCTTTCTTCTTCTTCTTCTTCTTCTTCTTCTTCTTCTTCTTCTTCTTCTTCTTCTTCTTCTTCTTCTTTCTTCTTCTTCTTCTTCTTCTTCTTCTTCTTCTTCTTCTTCTTCTTCTTCTTCTTCTTCTTCTTCTTCTACTTCTTCTTCTTCTTAATATTATCATTATTATTATTTTTGTTCTTTTCTCATCATCATCATCATCATCATCATCATCATCATCATCATCATCATCATCATCATCATCATCATCATCATCATCATCATCATCATCATCATCATCATCATCATCATCATCGTCGTCGTCATCATCATCATCATCATCATCATCATCATCATCATCATAATCATCATCATCATCTTCTTTTTCTTCTTCCTCTTCTTCTTCTTCTTTTTCTTATTCTTCTTCTTCTTCTTGTGATTATTTTTTCAAATTTTATTATTATTATTTTCATTATTATTATTTTTGTTCTTCTCTTTTCTCCACTTCTCTTATTATCATTATCCTCATAATCATCATCATCATCATCATCATTATCATCATCATCATTTTCTTTTTCTTCTTCTTCTTTTTCTGTTTCTTCTTCTTCGTCGTCTTCTTCTTCTTCTTCTTCTTCTTTTTCTTCTTCTTCTTCTTCTTCTTCTTCTTCTTCTTCTTCTTCTTCTTCTTCTTCTTCTTCTTCTTCTTCTTCTTCTTCTTCTTCTTCTTCTTCTTCTTCTTCTTCTTCTTCTTCTTCTTCTTCTTCTTCTTCTTCTTCTTCTTCTTTCTTCTTCTTCTTCTTCTTCTTCTTCTTCTTCTTCTTCTTCTTCTTCTCTTCTTCTTCTTCTTCTCTTCTTCTTCTTGTTCTTGTTCTTGTTCTTGTTCTTCTTCTTCTTCTTCTTCTTCTTCTTCTTCTTCTTCTTCTTCTTCTTCTTCTTCTTCTTCTTCTTGTTCTTCTTCTTCTTCTTCTTCTTCTTCTTCTTCTTCTTCTTCTTCTTCTTCTTCTTCTTCTTCTTCTTCTTCTTCTTCTTCTTCTTCTTCTTCTTCTTCTTCTTCTTCTTCTTCTTCTTCTTCTTCTTCTTCTTATTCCTCTTTGCAGATCTGCTACTTCGGATTCACCTCCCTCATCATCATCATCTACATTATATTCACCACTGTATAGCTTCATTATCCCCATTTCCTCCTAACCAGCGTCGTCTTCCTTGTCTATTTCCCCAAGGCGGTGGGAAATCAGCGTCACATTTTCCCGGTAATTTGTTGTGCGGCCTAAAAACGAATGTTAACTGTTGAATGTTGAATTAAGAATCGTCATCATAACACTCGGAAAGCTCGCAAAAACAATCCATCCCCATCTTCAGCAGCAAGCAAAGAGTTCCAATTGCGATAGTACGTACCAGTACCTGTCTGAATGTATATCCTTCTCGCCTTTCCCTTGATTGTTGAGCGTCGACCAGATCCCCTGGTAACTCCCCGCTGTGCCATTCTCATGAGAGCCGAAGGAAATCAAAGTAATATTTTAGCAGATCATATTTTATTGGCGTTAAATGTTATATTATATTATCACAACTGACGTACTTGCAGTTTGGCATTCCAATGGGTGTTCAGTCCTCCCGTGCAGTAGTCACACAAAGGTAACCCTACCCATAAGAAGCTGGTCACAATGACTGTCTTGACCTCGATGATAGCAGCGACGCGCTTTCCCAGGCTTCACCCTGATATCATGTAATCAACGTGGCAGGTAAGGTTTCACCAAGAAAAACAGTCACTGGGCAGTCGGACAGCTGGAATTAGGGCCGGCTGAGCTGCTCAGATACATCACACCGCCCTTCCGACCCAATAGCCTGACACGACAGGATGTTAGTTGATGCTTCTGTGTATGCTCATTTCCGCTTGCTGAAGTTTACTTTTTCGGAAGGCACTGAGGAAGAAGGCGATGGCAAACTTCTGCGCTCCACGCACAGGGGTGCAGCTACATAAACGGATGAATTCCTGTTTTGTCCTGGGAAGCGCAATTCACTGGGGCTTGAGCTGAATCCAAAAGGGGCCTCAACTCCAGTGTAGTCTTCTGATATAGTCCGAGAAAAGTAAGATCGACGATACTTCTGATTCACTCTCTGATGCTGCTGTAGACTCTCGCTGAAATCGTTACGATGACCCGGATGAAACTCGTCGTTCAGGGACATCTGTTTTTGAAGCTTCAATGATGCTCTGTGAGGTGGTGAGTAGATATCATTCACAGAGCCACTTTCATAGTGGCCAGATGGACCTTCTCGTCTGCTTTCATGGTAATACGCAAGCGTTGAGGCATCGCTACCCAGCCTTGAGACTGGGGTCTTACGAGGGTGGTAATATCCTGGGCTCGGAATTTTTGGTGGGTAGACCGTTTCGGCTAAGGATGGCGATATTTCTGGGGATTTGTTTCCAAAACTTCCTCTAGACTTAGAAATTCCTAGATTACCATCTTCTTGCTTGATTGATTCTTGCGGGGTATTTTTCATGAAATTTAACTTCGGGTATTTTTGAATCATTTGAACGGAAGTTTCTGGGCTTTGTTGGGATGATACGCTTGGAAAATTTCGATTTTTATGATCTGGTGAGTCACCGGGAGGCCAGTGTATTTTACCCACAGAGATCTGGCTCTCAGTTTCACAGGGATCGCTTACTGGGGTCAGTGAGTCCACCCCACTTTCAGTTGAACCGTTGTTATCTTGTAGTATAGCGTTTTCGCCAACGATGTTCAAGTTAAGACACCTTCTCCTATTGACCTCTTTCAAATTCCCATGCCCTCTTCGAATTGTATCATAATCCTTAGGTGGCAGCAAAAGCGGTTTATCCTTCATCTGCAGCCGGTATTTCAGCTCATCGGCGACGCTGTCAAAGGGCTGAACATCCTTTAGACTCTGCAGATCCGAATCAATCTCGTCATTGGTGAAACTTGAAGATTCATCATTGCTTCCCGTGCTGGAAGCCGAACCTACAGCGGAGTCACTCGTGCGAACATCGCTATGGACGCTATCCCCCGGCATCATTCTCACGTCATCAATCTCTCCTCTTTTGGCCAAATCAGCCTCAACCTTTTGTATCCGTTCGTAATTTTCTTCGACCAAAGCCGCCATCTGGGTCGCGAAGAGAGCCGCTGTTTTTGCCTCGTCGAAACGATAGACGTGAACGTGGACGTATCTCTGCGTCCGAGGCATGTATCCCAGGAAGATGCAGGCAACAACATCGTCCAGACGTCCTTCTCCTGGGCGAATGGCTTGTTGTACGTAAGTAACATCCCTTGCTGGTATTGTTGGGAATTTAACCTTCTTCCCGCCTTTTTTGCTCTTATCTGGCACATTCTGGGTAATCTTCAGCTCCTTTCTGCTTACCTGCAATTATATAATTATATATTTTAAAAAGCATTATTAAATAAAAAGTGAAGATCAATGCAAACAAAACCGAAACAATACAAGTTAGTGGAATCCCTGCCGGAATGGTTCTGGTTTGAAACAAGTTAGGGAATTTAAATATCTAGAAAGCATGATCACAGGAGATTGTGGAATGACAGAGAAATAGAAACCAGATGTCACAAAGCAGGCGCACTTATATACCAATTTTCACTATTTTAAAGACATTCACACATAACTATTAATGCAAAGAAACATATTATAAATAGCATATTCATTCCAACATTAAGCTACAAGTGCCAAACATAGACACTATCTAATACGCATGTACGCAAAATCGCCACTTGCAAGATGAGATGCCTGAGAAAAGCAGCTAACCTAACACTCCGAAATCGAGTGGATAATGAAACTGTCAGACACACTGTGGGAACGACACCTTGTACTAGATTCATCGAGAAACAGCAGGTCAAGTGGTTTGGCCATCTCGTTAGAATGCAGCAAGATCAAATACCATCACAAGCACTACATCTCAGAAGATCAGCTACAAGAGCAAGAGGACGGCTGCGAAAATATAGATCGACACTCTACGCCAGTGATTCTTCATGGCCTGACAACAGTGGTAGCCAGCGTGCAGTGGATCGCAAATTATTCCTCCCCACGATGCTTAACCGCAGAAGTGGTTTATGATAATGATGATGTAAAGGAAAGGTAATATTACGTCGTGAAACGCTATTATTACGTAAAGAAAACTTACAGTTTAAACAAATGTAATAATTATGGTGTGTTAGCGTTACTTAAGCTGTGAGTCGTGGACTATCTCTCAGTCCTCAAGAAAGAGAATGGGGCGTTTGAGTTGAAATGCTATAGAAGGATTCTCAGAATATCTTGGACAAAGATGAGGAGAAATATTGACATCTTGATAGATCTGAACATCAAGGTATATTGGCTAATAAACAGCATCCTGTCTCGGAAGCTGAAATATTTTGGTCATATCAAGCGCCACGATGGATTGGAAAAAATTATAGCAGAAGGCATGGTACAAGGAAGGAAGAGCGGGAGCCGACCAACACGAAGATGGGCACAGGATATAAGTGACTACTTGAGTATGAAAGTGCATGAGGCGGGAGAACTGGCGAGAGACCGAGTTTCATTCAGGCAGACCGTGACGTTTTGCAAAGGACCTGCTGCATGATGATGATGATGAACGTTACCTAATGTAGAAGAAAAAAAATTATGTTTACACGACAGTGGCGCATCAGGCCTACGTGGCTTGACTAATATTTTATAGATCTCGATAGCTGTTCGGGTCAGCATCACGTCAGCTGCCTTGACCTGTCAGGACTCTATCCGGTACCCATTTCGCACTCCTTCGATCTGGCAGCCAAGATCATGTCTGAAAAAAAAAAGCGACTATGCGAATTTGAACCAAAGACCTTCAGATCCAAAGGTAAGGGTTTAGCCGCTACACCACGCAGAAGAAGAAGAGGACTCAAAGAACAGCAGAAGAAGACGAAGAAAGAGAAAACGAAAAAAAAAAAAAAAAAAAGCAAAAGAAGAAGAACCGACCTCTCTTTCTTTTCCCTGTAGGAATTGGCAGTTTTAAACTTGCACTAAAGCCAGACCAAATCGCCACTTTAACAGAAAATAAACTCCTTTTTTTATGGAATGCACTGACCTAGTGTGTAATACTGCACCGCTTCAGACAGACGTTGGTGCCCCAGATTCGAACTGGCGCCCCATGTCTAGTGGGTTTAGGAAACAAATCTGCGTCTAAACAGAAGCAAGCCCGACTCGCCAGACAACAAAGACACGGGTCAACTGCTTGTCCAGTTTGGTGATCAGAGAAACCATGTTTTGGGTTTTGTGTTTGGCTGGAAGCCGGTGGCTAGATCTGGTTGCACAAAGGTGTAGTTTTAGTACAGGTAATTTTGATGACAACTGGCGCATAGTTGAGACCTAAATATAAATAGCTTCGATCGAAAATAACCGATAGCCGGCTGACCGCTGCCGTTCTGAAAAAAAAGTACTTGTTTTCAGCTAGTTTTGCTGATGCGAATTTCCCATTTCTGGACCGGAAGTTTAAAGGTCCCGTTGCCCATATACTGAGCTAAGTACTGTTTGACTGTGATTAACTATTACCATTACGTAGTCCCCGTGTGGGGCGCAATTTTTCGTTGTTTTGAAGCTCCAGTCTTGTTTTTTCTGGGGGCTGTAATATATCCAAACGATTGAACACTATTTCTGTGACCTCTTCACGGGTGATCCTCATCCGCATGGTGGCACTTTGTGTCACAGGGTATTTATTGTTCTGTGTGATGCCATGTTGGGGTAAACTTAATTTACTTATTTACTTTGACTGTGACTTTTGACACGACACTTTGAGCTGTGCATTTCATATGGAATTGTTTTTTTTTTTAAGTGCTCGTAGCGTGTTGTTGACTGCCCGTGTGGCGCCCCACTGTCATCTCTTGCACGGCTTTCTGTCTGGCTTCCGGTCAGTTCTACGATAATCTCCCCCACGTTACACACTAGCTGACATCTGATTAGTCGACCTCCAGTTACCCGACCTTGGGGGGGGGGGAGGGAGGGGGAGGGGATGTTCAGCAATGCCCTTGATATCGCGTGTTGTATATTTAAGCAGTAACGAACGCAGTAACTTACCAACTCTCCCCATTGCTAAAACACCCAAGCATCACTATGGCACTAAAACGACAACTGATAAATTGCATGTTTATACCAACCCTCTGCTACCAATGCCAAACCTGGTCCCTAACAAGAGCACAGGAGAAAAAGATCACGACGTGCGAAATGAGATGCTTACGTAAGGCTGCCAATGTCACAAGGAGAGACAGAGTTCGAAACGAGAACATTAGAGCAATTGTAGGAACCACGCCATGCCTGCAATACATAAAGAAGCAACAAATAGAGTGGTTTGGCCACTTGATGCGAATGCAAACCGACCAGCTGCCTCTACGAGCATACAACGAACAGCACTACTGCCCTAGAGCAAGAGGCAGACCGAGAGTACGATGGATAGACAATATATCAGAGATCCTGAAGCAACACGGACTAACAACAACACGTGCAACACACCTGGCCCAGGATAGAAAACTGCGACTCCCCACTACGCTGTGAGGCAATTGTGGACAAGACAAGACAAGACAAGACAAGACAAGACAATTGCTTTTAACACTACAAAAACATTTAAAACTGGGTCAAACCCACAACTCCCCTAAAGAGTGCTGCAACCTATGTCACAGGCATTCACTTTCTTAAAAGAAAAACGTAAAGGCAAGACAAGCCAGAAAGGAAACAACATAGCCGTAACCCCCCAGACAGCAGAAGAGTCAAAAAATTTATCAATGGAGCGTCACCTAGTTCGGCTTGGGAGATTATTGTGTAACTTAACTCGGCTTCCCGTCACCGCGGGCAGCCACCACACACAGGACGGTCATCATCACACTTAGTCTACATACACATATAAGGCTAAAAGTGGGGAAGGGGCGCCTTAAAGCAGAGCTGTTTTAACAGCATTATGGGCCCCTGGGCAAACCTTTGTGCTGAAGCCCCTACGACAAACTTTTGACCGGAATGAAATGTAAATGGTCACAGACATACATAGATTAGCGTGATGCCCCTACGATGATGGTGCCTCCTGACAAATGCCCAATAGACCCATGTGTTAAAACGGGCACTGCCGCGAGAGCCTGAAATCCCAGATTAGGCTGCCAATGAAGATTTGCTATCAGCCCCGTCCTGGGAAACACGAGCTAGACGATCACAAACAAAAATGAACTCAATAAAAGCTTACAATAAATTACACGTTTTTAGGAATGTTGTCAACAAAAGGACAGATGGCATTTGTCCACTAAACGCAGACATATAAAGTATCACCCCCAAGATATATCACCCTTTAACCTGGGAAATGTGATATCTCAAGCTGCGGATTCACTTCCCGCACTGTTGACAGGCAAGTTCTGATCTCCAACAATCTTCTAGAGCAGCGGTTTTCAACCTATTGGTTGCGACCCCTTTTAGGGTCGACCGACCCTTTCACAGTGGTCGCCTACGACCATCGGAAAACACATATTCATTAAAGTTACGAAGTAGCATGGAAAATGTTTTTAAAGTTGAGGGGTTATCACAATATGAGGAACTGTATCAAGAGGTCGTGGCAGTAGGAAGGTTGGGAACCACTGTTCTATAGGAAAGTGACTAAACAAGGTCAAGTAACAGAAAGTGAATTGATCGGCACTCATAGAAAGAAGTAGAAAGATAGAAGAACACACTGGACAACATAAAAATCGAAAGCTATAGTTACCGTGTCGGGAATTTAACCTGTCACCTCCAGACAGCGAGTACGTCTCGCCATGGATACAAGTGCACTAAGAACATGGTCAACTAGGCACCCCCTGAAACAAGATCGACCCAACCTAAAATTGGTACCTCGAAAAAGTTAAGGATCCTTTTTCACGCCTATGTAGTTACTGTGGACCTACGGCTCGATAGTTGGTAAAGGATCCTTTTCCACGCCTTTAGGTGTATTGGGAATATAGGGCTAGACCTATAGTTTTATAGACTAATCGGCACTTGGTGGGCGATGTGGTCGACATAATGCCGGCCGCATTTACTTCCCAGGACTACACCTGGTACCGACACAAAGCTGGGTCGTCCTGAGAGTCAAGATTATTTTGAAAAGTTAGTAGAACCCAACCCTGGCATTGTTTTTGGTTGTTGTGGTTTTTCTAGGCACATTTACGTCCAGTAGTTTGCCATTGCTTTCTGGACGGTCGGCTCTCGATACCACTGTCGAAATCAACGCAAGGCGGTCTGCTGCCAAATCGCCCCCAACTGGGATCAAACCCTACATCTCAGCATTACAAAGCGACCTAAGCCACAGACGCCGACATATGGCTAGACGTATGTTTAATAAACCAATGCACACATAGTGGGTTTTGTCGTCAGCCTCACGCCGGCCGCCTTTACTTTCCAGGACTTTTGTCTGGGAGCAAAAGTTCATTAAAAAAAAAAAAAAAAAACGAAAGACAGCAACTTCCTGATTTGATCCCATAATATTAGGATCCTCAGGCTTGAATTTAACGTAGTGGATGCCAGGTAAAAAGTATGGGAAGTAAAGGCGGCTGGCCGATGAGTCTATAAAAATATGACCCTTGCATCATTGCCTGATTCACCACTGGCGTAAAAGAGTGTCTTTTACTTCATTTTACTAATCCTCTTGAGTGTCCAGATTTCTTCAGTATGTCCGACCCCATTCAGGGGCTTTTCGATCAAAATGGGCTCATAAACAAAATGGGACTCATGAATCACAAATTACTCTGCGATTAATATTCAATTCCATCAGCATGCCAACGGAAATCCTTCCAAGTGCCACACTAGGCACACGTACTGCAGGTTCCTTCCACCTGCCGCAGACAACAGCTATAAACACAAGCCCTTTTCCCCATTCAGGATGCTGTCATTGGAGATGTATTGTTTTGGACTGAAACACTATCCTCTGCAAGTTCCTCAAAAGAAAAAGAATTATTTGTGTCGTACGTAAACCGAGATTCTTTTCATGTAACCCAAGATTAGGTTAATTAAAAACATGACCGGCAAACTACGGTGTTTAACATTGGAATCCGAGAACACATTACGAAAAAAAAAAAAAAACAACAACAACAACAACCCATAACTACTACTATTATTACAAACACCACCACCACCACCTCTGCCACCATCGCCGCAGCTGCTGCTACTACTACTACTAAAACAACAACAAATATTACTACTACTAAAACAACATTACTGCTACTACTACTACTACTACTACTACTACTACTACTACTACTACTACTACTACTACTACTACTACTACTACTACTACTACTACTACTACTACTACTACTACTACTACTACTACTACTACTACTACTACTACTACTACTACTACTACTACTACTACCACCACCACCACTACTACTACTACTACAACTCACCTCAATGGTCAGTTTCGGTGGAGCCTCCATGTTCTTCTGGCGTCGCCGCAGTTCCCTCATGACCGACTCCGTGTATTTGTGTCCTCTGACTCCCCGACACTCCATCCACCCCAGGAACTCCACGTAAAACTGGGATTTCTTGGAGAACGGATCAGCATCCTTGGATTTGCCACCAGAGAACAGAGACATTGTACTGCGTAGTGACGGCCTGAATCCTTTTAACTGCTCATCAGATGGATTCGCTGGTTTTTCAAAAACTATCTCTGTTTTATTAGTCCTTTATTTCACAAGGACCCACGAGCTTGATTCCAATGAATAATTTGAAAGTGTGATGGAAATTACAGTAAGCTTGCCATTGTCTGTAGCCTGTCAGTATTGTTGTTAATGATGTCAAGAGTGGTAAGCATGCGACAACATTGTGCTGATAATCACGATGACGTCACAATGACAGTTTAAAGATGGCCGCCTCTACTTCTGACATGCTTGTAGATTTATCCGTTTAAGAAATTAAATCACCATGAGTGAAGGTGTTTTTTTTAAAGGGGGAGAAAAAAAAAGGGGGAGGGGTGGGGGTGAGTGTTTCCGAGACTAAGTGTTCAAGCTGTTTGCCTCAAATGAACTTAAACTTGTACATGAACACAAATTGTTCAAATGGAGCGTAGTGTGCAGGTTGTAGCAATGAAATTATTTTGAGTTGCCTGGAATAAAATGTGCTCAGGTTTAAAATGGCGAGGTAAATCCGTTGAGTTAAAAGTGTTATACATAAAATCGATCTTCAAATGGGTGGACACGTGGAGCTGTTGTTTCTATAAAAAAAAAGGAGTCATTAGTGATCAGTGAGGTATATTATCACATCACTCTGTTCAGATCCATTACCCACACACATACACGCATAAAATTGCGTAAACAGCATCATGTGGCATCTAATGGTAATATAATAATAACAGCGATCACAACCATAGAACAGTAATAACAAAAATAAAAATAACTATAACAACCACAATAGTAACACTAATAACCTTAACAAAAGAAACAGCAAAAATAATAACACTAATAACCACAACAACAGCAACATCTACAACAGTAAAACTAAAAACCATAACAGAAGCAAAAGCAACAATTGTAAAACAAGTAACCATACCAATAGCAACAATAGTAGCACTAATAACCATAAAAACAACAACTACAATAGTAACACTAATAACCATAACAACAGCAACTACTACAATTATAACACTAACAACCATAACAACAGCAACAACTAAAATAATAATACTAATAACCATAACAACAGCAACTACTACAATAGTGACACTAATAACCATAACAACAACAACTGCTACAATAGTAACACTAATAACCATAAAATCAGCAGCTACTACAATAGTCACACTAATAACCATAACAACAGCAACTACAATAGTAACACTAATAACTATAACAACAGCAACTAATACAATAGTCACACTAATAACCATAACAACAGCAACTACTACAATAGTCACACTAATAACTATAACAACAGCAACAACTACAATAGTCACACTAATAAACATAACAACAACAAATGCTACAATAGTAACACTAATAACCATAACAACCGCAGCTACTACAATAGTCACACTAATAAACATAACAACAGCAACTACTAAAATAGTCACACTAATAAACATAACAACAACAAATGCTACAATAGTAACACTAATAACCATAACAACAGCAGCTACTACAATAGTAACACTAATAACCATAACAACAGCAACTACAATAGTAACACTAATAACCATAACAACAGCAACTAATACAATAGTCACACTAATAACCATAACAACAGCAACTACTACAATAGTCACACTAATAACCATAACAACAGCAACTACAATAGTCACACTAATAATCATAACAACAGCAGCTACTACAATAGTAACACTAATAACCATAACAACAGCAACTACAATAGTCACACTAATAACCATAACAACAGCAACTAATACAATAGTCACACTAATAACCATAACAACAGCAACAACTACAATAGTCACACTAATAACCATAACAACAGCAACTACAATAGTCACACTAATAACCATAACAACAGCAACTACAATAGTCACACTAATAACCATAACAACAGCAACTACAATAGTCACACTAATAACCATAACAACAGCAACTAATACAATAGTCACACTAATAACCATAACAACAGCAACTACAATAGTCACACTAATAACCATAACAACAGCAACTACTACAATAGTCACACTAATAACCATAACAACAGCAACAACTACAATAGTCACACTAATAACCATAACAACAGCAACTACTACAATAGTCACACTAATAACCATAACAACAGCAACTACTACAATAGTCACACTAATAACCATAACAACAGCAACTACAATAGTCACACTAATAACCATAACAACAGCAACTACTACAATAGTAACACTAATAACCATAACAACAGCAACTACAATAGTCACACTAATAACCATAACAACAGCAACTACTACAATAGTAACACTAATAACCATAACAACAGCAACTACTACAATAGTAACACCAATAACCATAACAACAGCAACTAATAGTCACACTAATAACCATAACAATAAACTACACTAGTCACACTAATAACCAAACAGTAGCAACTAATATAGTCACACTAATAACCATAACAACAGCAACCAATAGTCACACTAATAACCATAACAACAGCAACTACAATAGTCACACTAATAACCATAACAACAAATAGTAACACTAATACCATAACAACAGCAACTACAATAGTCACACTAATAACCATAACAAACTACTACAATAGTCACACTAATAACCATAACAACAGCAACTACTACAATAGTCACACTAATAACCATAACAACAGCAACAACTACAATAGTCACACCAATAACCATAACAACAGCAAACTACTACAATAGTCACACTAATAACCATAACAACAGCAACAACTACAATAGTCACACTAATAACCATAACAACAGCAACTAACTACAATAGTCACACTAATAACCATAACAACAGCAACTACTACATAGTCACACTAATAACCATAACAACAGCAACTAATACAATAGTCACACTAATAACCATAACAACAGCAACTAAATAGTCACACTAATAACCATAACAACAGCAACTAATACAATAGTCACACTAATAACCATAACAACAGCAACAAATACAATAGTCACACTAATAACCATAACAACAGCAACTACAATAGTCACACTAATAACCATAACAACAGCAACTACTACAATAGTCACACTAATAACCATAACAACAGCAACTACTACAATAGTCACACTAATAACCATAACAACAGCAACTACAATAGTCACACTAATAACCATAACAGCACTACTACAATAGTCACACTAATAACCATAACAACAGCACTAATATAGTCACACTAATAACCAACTAATACAATAGTCCACTAAACAACAGCAACTACTAGTCAATAATAACCACTAACAACAGCAACTAACACAGTAACCATACAACAGCAACTAATAATAGTCACACTAATAACCATAACAACAGCAACTAATACAATAGTCACACTAATAACCATAACAACAGCAACACTAATAGTCACACTAATAACCAAACAACAGCAACTACTACAATAGTCACACTAATAACCATAACAACAGCAACTACAATATAATAATATAACACAGCAACTAATAGTCCATAACAACAGCAACTACTACAATAGTCACACTAATAACCATAACAACAGCAACTACTATAGTCACACTAATAACCATAACAACAGCAAGTACTACAATAATAACACTAATAACCTTAACAACAGCAAGTATCAACAGTAACTACTATAATAATAACACTAATAGCCATAACAACAGTAACTACTATAATAATAACACTAATAGCCATAACAACAGTAACTACTATAATAATAACACTAATAGCCATAACAACAGTAACTACTATAATAATAACACTAATAGCCATAACAACAGTAACTACTACAATAATAACACTAATAGCCATAACAACAGTAACTACTACAATAATAACACTAATAGCCATAACAACAGTATCTACTACAATAATAATAACAACAACGACTAATAGCCATAACAAACAGTAAACTACAATAATGACACCAATAATCATAACAACAACAACTACAATAATGACACCAATAACCATAACAACAGCAACTACTACAATAGTAACACCAATAACCATCACAACAGCAACTACTACAATAGTAACACCAATAACCATAACAACAGCAACAACTTCAAAAACAACAACCCTGAGTGGGTTCTGAGGTCCATTGTCAGGGAGGCAGGGTGGAGAATTTACCCACTGCCTCTTTATCGAGCATGTGGTGAAAACGAATAACTAGGGATCTTTCCTTGAAAACGTAGTACATTTGCTGTTAAGGCGAGGAGTCAACAATCTAGAAACAAATAAGTCAGACCTGTAAACCGGATGTGCACCCAAAACTGAAATTCTGGGGCAAGACCAAAGTCCAGGAGTGGACGAACAACCAGAATGTTTCGCGGGCGTCTGCTTAGTTAAAGATGTGTAAGGAAAAATGAATGAATGAATGAATGAATGAATCAATCAATCAAAAACTGACATCCTTGCACTCGGGATATTCCCATACGTGCTCCGTCTCTTTCTTCAGTAACCAAGGAAGAGTTGCTATGCTAATAGTACCAGTTACAACCCAGCTGCTCACCCTTTCGCTGAAATAGTCTATCAATGTATGGATAACTACATTTACCGAAGATGGGAAATTGGATAAAGAAATTGACATTAGATGCAATAAAGCAAACCAAGTATTGGGACAGCTAGCTTCCCTCTTACAGCATAAGACAATCCAAATCAGCACAAAGAGACATCTTATTCAAATCATATTTATTCCAACTCTTTGCTACCAGTGCCAGACATGGTCATTCACAACAAACCACAAAAGAAAATTAGTAACCACGGAAATGAGATGTCTGAGAAGTCTGTAGGAGTGACCATAAGAGATAAGATCAGGAATGAGATCATAAGAGAAAAAGTCGGCACAGAACCAATTCTGGATTACATACGAAGACAGCAAGTGAAATGGTTTGCCCACTTAGAGAGAATGCCTTGTGACACCATACCATACTGAGCAT